TCAGGCCCGGGAAGGGCACCGCTGGGCTTGGGGGCTTCTGGGTCCACTAAAGCACTTTGGAGGGCAGGTACAGGGCAGGAGGGGAAGCAGGGGGCAGGCACACTGGGGCTCACCTCTGGGATTCCACTGCCGGACACGGTGCTGTCTGAGGGCCAGAGGCATCCTTCCTGTGTGGGGGAGAGAGGCAGGTCAGGGGATGAAGGACAGCTGGGAGCCAGGGTCCACCCGGTTCTGACCCTGGGACCTTCCACTTGGAATGAGACCTTGCACTATCCACCCCCCCCACCCCCCGGGCCTGGGCACCTCTCAGACACCCAGTTCTGGGCTCCCACTCTGTCCCTGAAAACGCACCCTCCACACTTTCTGAAACGTGCAGTTGAATCTCCTTTCTCCAAGCCCTCCAGCGCCTCCTGTGGCCGGATCCAGCCCCCCTGGCCTTGGCCACCCCTGCCTGGCTGTGCCACCGTGGGCGAGTGGCTGAATTCCAGCTGAAGGAGGGGAGCGTGCAAACCGCTCGGAGTGCGCCCTCTGCGAGCATATGAACAAATCGGGCGTCATCACCACGCTGTCTCCAGCCCTGCTGACTGCTATCTAGTGCGTCAAAATGCGAAGTGTGCACCTCAGGGCCTTTGCACTGGCCACCCCACTGCATGGCCAACGCCTTGTTTTTTTCTTCTTATTCTCACACGAGGATACGTGTATTGCTTTTAGAGACAGGAAGGGAGGGAGAGATGGAGGGAGGAGAGAGAGGGAGATGTGTGAGAGAGAAACATTGATCTGTTGCTTCCAGGTTGTGCCCTGATCGGGAATCAAATCTAAGACCCTTTTTGCACGGGATGATGCTCCAACCAATTGAGCCACCCAGCCAGGCTCCTTGCTTTGTAATCCCAGTGTCCCCTGCAGACTTCCTCTGACACCATACCTAGAGGGCCCTCACCCATCACAAATCCTGTCCTCTAATGACTTCCCTCACAAGAACATCTTGTCTACTTGTTTATTTAGCTCTTGACTGTCTTGGCCTCCCACTGTGAGCCCAGGTTACAGGTGAAGAAATACAAGAGTTAGTAAGGGAAGCCCCACCTAGCTGCTCTGCCAGGACATGATTCAGTGAGTCAACAAATGTGGATGTGGCCACTTCTGTGCCAAGCTCCAGGCCAGGTGCCAGGCATGTCGCTGCCACCTCATGAGGCTTATGCCCTTTGCCCTGAAACTCTGGGTGGGACCTGCAGCTCCCCTGGGGAATGGAGAGGGCTGGCTCTGGACTCCAGTCTGCGCACGGGCAGCCAGGCTGCACCGGCTCTGTGTGTCCAGCCACACTGCTGGCTCCCTCATACCTACTACCTGCTGCAGGCAGCGTCTGCCCTGCTCAGGCCACTCTGACCTTGGCCCGTCAGAGGTTAGTGAGTGAGCCCACCTCACAGAGGGGCCAGGGGACAGGGAACAGCATGCTCTGCAGACATCGGGGCCTCAGCTCCCACCGAGCTGGAGACCCTGCCCGAGGTTCCCGGGACCTCTATCACCTGACAAAAGACCCCGCCCTCTGTACTGAGACTCCTGTTTCATGTGGAGAGACCCAAGGGCCAGGAAAGTGGGACCCCCACACCAGGATCAGTTCATCTGAGGAGCAAAAGAAATTAAAAATTAAAACTAGCTTTATTGAGATATACCTGACATATGATAATCTGCACATATTCAAAGTATATAACGGGGTTAAGCTTTGGCACATGTATATTCCAGGAACCCATCACCACAATCAGAATAACAAACTCATCCATCATCCCATTCATTTCACTGGGGGCACGTTTTCTGGAGGGCTCCCAGTTGAGGATTCCCTGGAGCGCTGCAATTTCCGACATGGCCACTAGGGGGCCCTGTGTCTCTCAAAACTGTCCCAACAGGAATACACTGACTAAACCAGGAAGACTCATGGGGCCTAGTATGCTCCAGGTGTGGGGAAGCAGAGAGCAGACAGACACTGTTACTGTTAACGTGGTCGTCAATGGCCATTTTGGGACTAATATTAATAATGCCATATCAATTGCTGCCTTGGTGTCAGGCACCGTGATAAGCTCTTTTAAGCATCATTTCAATTCTCCCAGCCAACCAACCACCTGTTCCCAAGTGGAGTCGGGAGCCCTGGGGAGGGGTGCAAGCAGCCAAAGCGTCTTGAATGAAATGTGACCCACACAAGCCCCTCTAAAAGCCTCCTGTGAGGCCCTCCAGCCAAGCCCCGGCAGGACATGGCCGCCAACACCTCTTCCCCACCTCCACCCCCACCTGGGTGCCCCACTGCAGACCCAGAACCACCCACCCTCCCTGCCACCGACTCCCTCCGACTCCTGCACCTGGAGGTCACCTCCTCCTTCAGGGAGTTCCGGGAACCAGCCACCTGGCCAGACGCCTGCCTGGAGGCTCCCGCAGCAGCCCAGCTCCCCCCAGCCTGGCCCCGAGTACAGAAACCCGCCACCAGGGCGGCACTGCGCTCAACCCCTGCCAAGGGCCGGGTCTTCCTCGCCTTGCTCCCCAATTCAGTGAATGGCCCCAACATCTTCCCAGATCAAATGCCAGACCCCAGGGTTGTTCCTGGCAGCTCCTTCCTGCCTCCCTCCCATCCCTAGCACCCCAGGCTCCATCTGGCTCCTTTTCTTTCTAGAAGCTTCCTTGTGGTGAGCCCATCCATTCTCCATGTAGAACCAGGGGTCTGCGAACGGTTTCCTAAAGGGCCAGAGAGTGAGCTAGTTCCTGCTCGGTGGGGCGGACGGTCTGTTACATCACTAACAACGCTGCTCTGGGGCAAGCACAGCCACCAGGGAAGATTCCATGGGAATAGGCTTGACTGCATGTCAGTGAGGAAACAAACACCCAGAAAGTCACCCCGAAAAGGGGCCACGGCAGGGCAGCCAGGCCGGCTGGGCCCAGCCCCAGGCAGACTGTGGCAGGGTTTGGGTCTCTCTGGGAGGTCACTGGGCCTGGAGACTCCTCAGACAAGCCCTGTCTGGCAGGGGGTCCCCAGGGGAGCTGCCACCCTCACATCAGGCCTAACAAGGCTGTGTTTACCCACCCAAGCGTCCCTGGGGACCTGTGCGGGTGGCTGGGTAGAGGGCAGGGGGAGAGGCGCCTTTCTTTTAGCCCTGGATCTCCTGAGTCCTAACCTCCGTCTGGGCGTGAAGGCCTAGGTGCTGCCACAGAGCTGCCTCCCTCCCCGGAAGCAGGCACGCCTCCCCCGGGAGCCTCTGCACCTCCACCTCATACTCTCGCCAACTTCATCCTCATCGGCTGGACCACATGGGGCAGCAGGAGAAAGGCCAGCTCCACCCATTCCACAGATGCTCCCTCAGGCTCGGAGGGAAGGAGACCCACTGGAGCATGTCTATAGGGCTGGCTATTCTCCTTTGTGCAAAAGGCCCTCACTTGCTCCAGCCCCGAGGGAGAACAAACAGGGAGGAGAACAAAGGGGCTGTGGGCTCTTCAAACCTCCCAAACCACCACTTAAAAGCTGTGAGGCCTCAGGCTAGTGTTCCCACCTCTCTGAGCCCGTTCTCTGTAAAACGGTAAGTGAAGACCAGACTGTGCATTGCAGCTGGTGGCCCGTTGCTAGGGTAACAGCAGCAACGACCAAGCACACCGGCGAGCCCTGGCTGCAGAAGCCTGGACCCCTTCTGCATACATGGGGGGCTCGGGCTGAGCACCCAGTGTTCCTGCGGAAGGGACCAGAGCGCCGCTCCTTGCCCTGGCAACCTGGTGACACACTGAGGCTGCGCCTGCCGCAGGCAGAGAGGCCCGAACCTGCCGGGACAGGCCTGCCTGCGGGCTCGGCTCAGCCCGAGACCCAGGAACCGGGAGGCCACACCCAGCACCCAGCACCGCCTCCTGTCCTGCCGCTGTCCTCCCGGTGCCCAAAGAACACCGACTCAGAGACGTGCGCCGCCCGCAGTCTCGGGGCTGCCAGGTGCCACCTTCCGCGATTCCCAGCTGCCCTTGGTCCCCAGCGCCTGCCCCAGCTTTCACACAAGTGGGACTGAAGCCCCGTTTCATGAAGGAGGGACTGGTCCGAGGGCACACGGCCAGGATGGTGGAGCTGGGATTAAACTCGGCCCCGGGTGACCTGCTGCCGCCAAGGCGCTGAGTCCCTGCCCGATGCCCGGAGGCGCTGGCTGAGAGGAAGGGCCCGCCCGTGTCTGGGTCACCGCAGGGCTCGGCACCTGAGCCACCCCCCATCTGCCCGGCCTCTGCCTGAACCCGGAGCTCTGTCCCTTGCAGCTCCTGGGAGGCCCCGCCGTGGGGCACCCCGTCACGTCCCGCGGCGGCACTTACTGAGGACAGGGCATCTTCTCTCCTCCTGCCCTGGCTGTGCCGGCCGATGAAGGAGCGCGCGGACAGCTTGTAGTGGCTGAGCAGGCACGTGATCACCACCACCATCACCATCACCACCACCACGATGATGGTGATCTCCACGAACTCCAGCTCCGCTGCAAGAGCAAGGGGACGCGTGAGACCCGGGAGCCCGACACGGCCCCACACACCCGGCCCGTAAACGCCACGGCTCCTGCAGACGCCCCAACTCTCAGAGACGACACGAACAATCACACCACACGCACTACCCTCTGGCCGAGAGGCTCAGAACAACCAGCCCCCGTGGCCGCAGACACTGCCATTCTCATGTCTTATTTCTGGTTCCGTTTCGTTTCCCCTCGAAGACAGAAAAGCTCTCAAGTGCTGGGAAAGGAAGGGTATTTTCATCTGCTGACTTAGCGGGTCCCTGTTGAGGGGCTCGGCAGGTGGCCATGGCTGGTGCCAGCAGAGCCCTTACCCCCCATCCCCTCCCCCGCCCCCAGCAGGTGACGCTGGTGCCAGTCCTGCCAGGACTGAGTACTGACATGCAGAGGGGCCACCAGCCAGCAGGTGTCAGCCTCCCAAGCCCGCTGGGCAGAATGCCCTGTCCAACAAGCAGGGGATTGTGCCTCCTGACCCGACCGACAGGGAGACTCCACAATGCCACCAGGCACCCCAGAGCCACTCGGCTCAGCATTTTCTCCTCCAAGACAGAGGAGTGGAATGGGCGGGGTGGGACGGCTGCAGGTGAGGAAAGGCTGTGGCTGTGGCTGCAGGTGAGGCGTGGTTGTGGCTGCAGGTGAGGTGTGGCTGTGGCTGCAGGTGAGGTGTGGCTGTGTTAGCGCTCTGCCCCCAACTGGGTCCACCCAAACTCCAAGCCCTGCAGGGCCAGCCCCTCTTGACTCTGGTCTGTTTTCCGGAGGATTCTAGCAGTGAACGTTACTTTGGTCCAACCACGGAAGCCTCTCCACACTGAGCCACATCCTCTGGGAGCCCTGGCCCGTTCATCCGGTTTCCAGGATGCCCACCTTCTCCTTATATATCTGCCCACTTGGCACCATTAGTAAGTCAGGAAGTCTGCCCCCCAGGGGACATGTGGCAATATCTGGGGACAGGAGTGACGGTCACAACAGGGGGTGCTCCTGGCATGTGGTGGGCAGGGGCCAGCAGTGCTGTGCAACCTCCTTTCATGTACAGAATGCCCAGCGACAGGAACAGTGGCACAGCATCCTGTGTGGGGCCAAGAACAGCCCAAGCCACCATCATCAGCCATCTCAGAGGTCAGGTGACAGACTCCTGTAGCCCAAGGGTCCAGAATTGGTGGCTCCTCCCAGTCATTGACCCAGGAATTTAATTGGAGTTTGGGCCTCGGCTCTGGCCCGTGGGTGGGACTGTGTCTCCTTTTCGCTCTGGAGGGGCCCGGTGGGGGGATGGCCGGGGCTTGGTGAGACACGGAGCCCTGAGAAGGCTGGGGCCCCGCCAGGCAGACACTTGGCAGCCGCCACCACCCTCCGGACACCCTGAGTTCTTGCCAGGAGGGCGGGCCTGGGTTGGGCAAAGGCCAGGCGTCTGGCCTCAACCCAGGAACTATGGCCACACCTCTTGCCTCCCAGACAGGCTGGTCCCGGGACTGGCAGCCTGGCTTGATTGCATAGGGCCAGGTCCTGGCGGTTAGGACCCAGATAAAGCCACCCATTCAGGGACACACAGGCCGGCTGTGTGCAACACCGTGGCCTCCCCGAGGGGCTTGCAACTCCCCGCCCCCTGCCAGGCCCACTCTGCACCCAGCCGGACAGCAGCGGTGGGCACCCGTCTCCCCTCCCCCGCTGTCTCCAGGGGCCCTGCCCACGCTGGGCCTGGAGGGGGGTGTGGGCTGCCTTTGTCCCTGCCCAGGCGGCTCGCAGGACCCAGGCCAGGCTCTGCCCTCCTGCTGGTGTCGCCAGGCCCAGATGGCGACAGTGGCTGCAGCACAGGGCTGCCGGCCCCGAGGCCCATGGGGCCTCACGGAGCGAGTGGGTGTGAAGCTCCACAGACAGCCAAGAGGGGCCCAGAGGACCTGGTTTCTAGGGTCCAGAAATGAGCACAGCTCCTGACAGCACTGCTGTACCCACCCAGGTGCCGGCCATGACCCCACAAAGGCATGGGGGAGGGAGAAACTCAGAAAAAGAAAGTACGGCTGGTTTGTGGTCATATTCTGGGCCCAGAGCAGGGAGGAGACTGGCCAGGGTCCCCGAGCCTCTGTGTGGCCTGACGTGGTTCAGTCCATCCCTGCTGCCCAAGCCAAGGGGGGGACAAGGGCAGCTGCCCGGGAAGCCTGCGGATGGTGATGTGCTGCACGCAGGGAGAGTGCCCTTAAGGCAGCGGTTCTCAACCTGTGGGTCGCGACCCCTTTGGGGGTCGAACGACCCTTTCACAGGGGTCGCCTGAGACCATCAGAAAACACATATATAATTACATATTGTTTTTGTGATTAATCACTATGCTTTAATTATGTTCAATTTGTAACAATGAAAATACATCCTGCA